AGGTGCCATACCAACGGGATAAGATGAGGAATCAGACACCACATCTCCATTTGAAAACGTTTCGTCTCTGTAATCACCTCTGTTTGTGTACATTCGTCGAGTCATGGTACTGGTTCGAATATTAAAACCTCTAATCGCTGATTTACTAATTTTATGTTCATGAAGGGTCCAAATATACTTTCTTTAACACTAAATGTAGTATGTGCGTAAACTACCTTTATTTTTAGTGAGTTCGCTTTATCACGCAGTGTAACACTCAAAATACTGATTCCTAAAAGTCCATTATGGTTCGTAAAAGCTTATGAATGGAGGAACACTGCAGGGGGCCTACTGACCTACAAGGCAGGCCCTTATCAAAACCACGCTTTAGTTGTGCCAATCTGTGTCCCTCGGCTCTTTCTCGCATCCACAGGATGTCTATCCATTTTCCAAATCTTCGGAGTATTTTCTATGTCCTGATCATGTACTCCCTGGTTCTCATTTTTTTTCGAGTTGTTAGCCTGAGTGGGTTGTACTCGACTATTTGTGGTTGCTTGGGTTGAGGTCACAGTCCTGGCCCCCGATCTTCGCTGGTCGCTACTAGGTCCAGTCTCTCCTTTCCTCCTGAGCTTTTTCGTTTCTCACCGAGGTTGTGTGTGTGGAGAGAGACCAGAGACAGAGAGAGAGAGAAGAGATTATTTAATGTGTTTTTCCACACTACATTGCCGAAAGTAATAAAACCCTTTAGCAGATTGGTGTTCCACTTGGAGATGAGGTGAAGCCTCCAGCGAGAAGGCTTCGACGGCGTCACCTGAATCTTCTAGTATCCAAAGCACTGACTATCAGTGTCAGGTAAGATCATACAGTGTTCGAATGATGGCCAACGAATGTTAGCCCAGGTTACTCACCACCCAAGCGTCACCATCTAGGTCTATAATTCTACAGATCAACAAAATACTTATCTTAGATCGCGTAGATGAACAGATCATCTTAGATGCGACTGAATGAACAGAATCATCTTAGATGCGACAGAATGAACAGAATCATCTTAGATGCGACAGAATGAACAGAATCATCTTAGAGCGGAAAGAATGAACAGAATATCTTAGATGCGACATAGAATGAACAGGAATCATCGTAGGATGCGGACTGAATGAACAGAAAAAGTCATCCTTAATTTAAATTTAAGGGACGCATAACAAAATGAAGAAAGTAGATAAATAAGGAAAGTCGCATATACAAAGAAAACCTAGACACAGGTCAGCTAACTTCTACCTTAACATGTCAGTCTAAAAAAAATAACTTGAATGATAAACACAAACAACGATGATCTAGTGGGAACAACGGTGCCAAACACATGAAACTCGGACCCACAATCTTATCCGTTCCAGATCTGCGACGACTCCAGGGGACCTTAGAAGATAACACACAAAATTACTCGTTGAATTTTTCTTATCTGTTCATTTTCACAATAAGAGAAAAACTGGGGGAAGGAAATATAAATTTTGACTTTACCGGAACTTGCTTGATGAACACTTTGAATATGAATTTTAAGTTAATATACAAAAGTTGTGACCGCTGCGGCACTATAAATATTCTTCAAGACTCGTTCCATTATTATTATAATCAAGGGGGAAACGCTAAACCCGGGGATTATACAGCGGCAGGGGGAGGGATGTGGAAAGGAATTCAGGCTTAATTCGGGGAAACTGGGAGGACTGATCCCAATTCCCTAAATCAAGAGCCCCTCACCAACATCCAAGGAACCAGACTCGTGCCATTAATAAAACAAATGATTAAAAATAGAAAGGGAACGAGCACTGTCTCGTCGCCAAAACTCTGGATATTCCTGATCAGGTGGGGGCTACATGCTGGGCGCTCTTGCGTACAAGAGGGTTCGATGTATATGTATATCATATTCAAAATTGTTCTTTGCCATGTGTTCCTGAAAAGAATTTTTCGGATTAGTTTTGCTTGTATGTTTAGTTGTTTTTGACATGTGCTTCCGGTGATTGCTCGGTGTGATGCTCAATCCCGATGTATATCCTTAAAACATTATCAATACCCTCTCTCCTAGTTGAATCAGTCTGCAGTTACTTACTTTTCTTATATATTTACATACCTGTTTAAAGGTCATCTTGATGATATATCCCCATTAGCTACCTTTCTCAATCTCCACATCTCAATCTTCCTCCACCAATAATAATAACTAGAAACAGAGTATATACAAGATCCGGCCATACAATAGAGCGGAAAAATAATGTAAGGGACCTGAGGAGTAGTAATGTTGAGGTCTCACTTTTCATAGGATCACAACAGTGCACGATCACAAGTGCAAAGAAATGATAGGATGGATAATGAGAAACGTTCAAAAGAGAGATGCCAAGAAATGATGATCCTTTCAAATCCATTGTTCTCTCTAGGCTGGTATTACTGCTGTACATTAAAACATTCTCCATTTCAAAGCAGGTGAAATCGCGCAGATCTAGTGTGTGTACAAAGATCCTTCTGCACGTATAAGTTCTGTCAAGCACCTTAACTACTGGGAACGCTTGGAAGCCACTTGACTTGTACTCGTTGGACGCAGGAGGGAGTGGATATATCATAAATTCTACCACTTGGAAATCTTGGAAGGATGGTCCCAAATCTGCACACAGAAATCACTCCCTA